ATGTGATTCAGATGAGAGTTTTGCATGTAAAGGGCTTGTTAACATGCATTCAGTAAATGCTCTTATTACTACTATTTTGCAGAATAGAGCCCAAGTTTTAGAGTGGGTTTTAGCTGCTTGCTAAAGGTCTGGCCTTCATTACATGGTGGGGCTTTCAATCTATTTCCTGCTTCTTTCTAGAAACTGACCTCTTGACTATACTATGTTGTCCCAACCCTACAGACACATGGAAAAGTCAGGCTCTAACCCAAAGTCCTAAGATCAGTCTGCAGATGGATCACATTTCAAGCCAGGGTCTGTGTGACTCTGAGGCTTTCACCTTGCTTCAACCACGTGGCCAGAAAACTCAGCCTTGTACTGTGTTTGTAACTAGTCTGAAATAACCTAGCTGGAAGAAAATACTTGTTTTGGTATCCTCCTCCACCACTCACAATATTCTGTTTGCATTTTTTCTGTTGTTTGGCTCAAATGAAGAGCAGTTTTCATCTTTGCTCTGTGTTATCATGTACACAGAACTGTTGCTGAGGAGCTAACAGCATGCTTACTTCGGCTTTATTCTGGGAAGGGGTGCCAGCCAGTCAATGGCCTTCATTTTTCTTTTTTTACATAACACTGTATACTGCAAATGAAGAAATAATGCACAGCATTTGAGTACAAAACCACTGTCAGACACCTATCATTTCTGGAGGTGGGTGAAGCAGAGGTGGCAGCGTGGAAATGGAGCCAGTGATTCTGACTTGCTTCCTTTGTCAGGAGCTCAGGAGCTGGATTGTACCCTCATTGGATAGCACTGGATGGATTTTATGGTTTTTACCAACTCAAAGGAAAAAGCAAACAGCACAGGAAAGGTGCCAGGACCAGGAAAATGTCTCAGAAAAAAAAAAAAAAAACTGTTAAAGAGAAATCCCAGGAGATGCAGGCTTCATATTGAACTCATCAAAGCTGTGGGGTTGCATGGGAATCTTGCTGTGAGCCCCAAAGTGACTGCTCAGAGTCAATGTGAGTTTTAAGTGGAGTCTGCCATAGGACTGCCTTGCAAAGACTGAGAGTTCTGAGGACCAGGCCAAGTAGGATGGCTAGGGTCATCTGATCAACCCCCAGGGATGCCAGGCCAGAGGTGGGACAGGAGGTGGAAAGTCAGTAAATGGAACCAAGGCCAGATAGGTTGCAGCCAGCGGGAGGAATTGGAGAAGTCTTTGGCCTGGGAGGGGAACAGGAATATTCATCAGGGTGATGGACAAAGGTAGAGGCAAGTGAGGTCATTCATTTGTTGATTCAGCAAACACTGTTGAGCTGGAGTTAGGTGCCAAGATCTGTTGCAGGCTGAGAGGCCTCTGGTGAACAAGGTAAAATCCCTACCTTGCCGGTCTGTATGTTGTTGTTGGGAACAAAGACACAAAAAAGATACATTACTCTATGATAATGAATACTATGAAGAAAATAAACATACTGACAGAACTTGGTAAGTAGGAGAGGGACATTTTTTTTTAAATGGGTGAGAAAGAACTCTTTGAGAATATGACATTTGACCCAAGGCCTAAATGATAAGCCAGCCCATCATGGGACAATATGAGGGAGGAGCTGAGAAGGATTTCATAGAAAGTACAAAGGTCCTGGGGCTGGGATAATCTTGGCATTTCAAGGAGTAGTTGAAAACTGTGTGACTAGAAGAGGGAAGTGGGCCCAGATTGTGTAGTGTCCAGGGATCATAAAGGAGTAGGGTTTTATTCTGTGCATAATGAGAACCCACAAAAAGATTTTAAATAGGGGAATGGTTTGATCTGAGTTCTGACAGTGTCTTAGCTCTGTGAGCATGTAGTTTTCTGAAACAAATAAGAACAAGCAGTATTTATTTCTTTGGGGATGGAGGGGACAAAGCAGTGGATCAGGAATTTCTAACTACATGGTGAATCTTGGTTGGGTGTTTGATAAAGGCTGTCATGGAAGAATGGAGAAGGGATTTTTACCAACTCAAAGGAAAAAGCTGGACTTAGATGGACTTATGTCTCCAAAGCATTGACCCAGGATTACCGTCAGGCTGGGAGGAGGGTCTCCAGCACTGTCCTCATGGCACTGCCCCAGACTCTCTCCTCTTCAGAAGTCATGCTCATCAGACATGCAGCTGACACGGAGCTGTCAGAGGACAGCTAACACCTTGGGTGACAGGCTCAGGATTCTCTGCGATGATCCTCCACTGGCTAGAGAGCAGCAGTATCCCTGATTGCATTGAGATGGGGAACAAAGCCCCTTCAGAGTGCAGGAGAACTTCCTAGGGTACACTTTCCAGAAAAGGGGACCTGGGGTGGGGCCAGAGGAGTGAAGGAGAAGATCTGGACCAGCCCTGACACCAGCCTCCTCTCTAGCATGGTGACAAGGCCTTTGGCCTTTCCGGATCACTCTTCCTCTCTGTAAAATGGAGATGATACTGCCTGCTGCCCAGGGGTGTGGAGAGGATTGAATGTGAGTGTGGATGTGGGTGCCTGGCTTCTGTTCAGTCCACGGGGGATTCACAACAAAGGGTGTCCTGAGCTGGGTTTCTAGGGGCACATGGAGGACTCACAGCCAGGGCACTGCTTCTAGAAAAAACTAGCTTTCTAAGAGGGCCTGTGACGTGTTCAGAGAAGGGTGACCAAGATGGTTGGAAGCATGGCTTCTGTGAGTCACTGTGCAGTCAGAATAGAGAGAAGGAGGTGATTGCAGCTGGGAGGACAAGAGTGCTTTCTGGGATGCTGTAGGGGCTGAGGGTGGGAGCAGAGGAGATGCCTTCACTGCTCAAGATGCCAGCAGTGGTGCTGTGAGGGGGGATGTGCAGAGGTGATACAGCATGTCATAGCTGAGATCTAAGCACCGATAATAACATTATAGTAATTATGCCGTGAATGCTTCTCAAGAGTTTACTATGAGCCAGGCTTGTGCTAAGTATTTTGCATAATTTATCTCAGGGCAACCTCATAGTCTCACCTTGAGAGGTAGCTATTATTACCACTTGACATGTGAGAAATACAAAGCCTAGATGGCAGCTATTGGGGGCAGCAACTGTATTGAAACTCAGCACCCACTGGATTTTCTGCCTGGTTCCTGGATTCAAAGTGGTAGAGGCTGAGAAGAGACATGCCTGGGGTGTCTCTAGTAGAGGGAACACAAGGTCCGATGAATATTTTAGAAGCTGCTTTTCTACTCTTTGGAGCTGGTACTTTAAAAGATTTAGCTGTGAACACTGTGTGTGTGTGTGTGTGTGTGTGTGTGTGTGTGTGTGTGTGTGCGTGCATGCATGCTTGTGTGTGTGCAACATTTTTATCAAAAAAAAATAAATAAATAAAAGAGCCAGGCATAATGGCATAGGCCTGTAATGCAAGCTGCTTCAGAGGCTGAGGCAGGAGGATCACAAATTCAAGGCCAGCATGTATAGTTTAACAAGAAACTGTCTCAAAAAAAAAAAACAAAAAACAAAAAACAACAACAACAACAACAAAACAAAGGTAAGAATCTTACACAGTAGTAGAATACTTGCCTAACATGTTTTAGGTCATGAGTCCAATTCCCAGTACTCTAAACAAAACAAAACAGTAACAACAAAATCCAATCAACCAACCAAACAGAAACCAAATGTAGACAAAAGCAAGGTGAATAGTGTACAATGATCACGTATGTCTATCTCCAGTCTTTACTATGATCTTCATATGCAACATACAAAGAATCTTAGTTCAGCTGTCAGATGCCCTTCCCTTTTCTCCTGTTGCTGAATTAATTCTAAAGGAAACTCCAGACATAATTTTATCTGTAAATACTTTGGTGTGTGTCTCTGAAAGATAAGGACTCCCTTTAGCTGTTGTTGGAAAATAACCATAGTATTATTATTACAGGTTTTAAAAATTAACATAATTGTAGTGAGTCTTTCTAATTCAGAAACTTAATTGGCACCTAGCTTGCTTTGCAAGGTCTTGGGGGTGAGAGGGAAAGCAGAAATTAGTTTCCTGGGACTGAGACTCACCTGTTCCCTTTGAGGATGAGGAAGGGAAGGGAAGAAAGCGATCTGAAACTTGGGGCAATGGGTTGTCAACTTCTTTGTCCTGTTTGTTCCCACTGTGCAGCAGTGGGGGTGGGGGGAGGCTGTTTATAGCCCTAAATCTGACAACCAAAGAAGGTAAAAGGAGGGGCTGGGGCGGAGAGGAAGGAAAGTGAGAAGGAAGAACAAGACCAGGCCCTGTATCATACATAGGCTGGTGTGGGGGAGGCTCTGGAAGCCTGGCCCCCAGCCACATCAGCTAATGCTACAGCCCACAGTGAGCTCACGTGTAGCTTACATCCCACGTTCTCCCAGCCACCTCACAGGCAGTGCTGATATGTGTCATACCCCTGTCCCATGAAGGACCCTGAGGTACTAGGGCCTGGCATGACATGAGAAGTGTTGCCCCAGCTTCAAGCCCAGTCTGTTTGGCTAGAGCCAGCTTGTTCCTGGCAGCACTCTGCCTACATAACGGAGAGGTTGACACAGGGCAGTAGCCAGGAGGTTCTGTTGCCTTGGGCGTGAGACTATGGACCCATACTTTATGTATTACTGGCGCAGAATTCTGTACCAGCCTGTGCCCTCGGACCCCTGAGCTTCAGCAGAACCCAGCCGCCAAAAGGCTCACTTGGGGACAGAAGGAAGACTTCCAGTTTGTAACTATGCCTATTCTGATGAATTGTCAGTTGTGGGCGGCTAACCCTTTGGTTCTGTGTGGCAACAGGTGACTCATGTGCCTTCCTGTTTCTGTCCAGGTGTGTGTGCCTCAAAATACATACATAGGGTACTGTCATGCCCCGTGGGGTAGCGTTGAGCCCCCTTGGGAGTTCACATAATGATTGTTTTTGCATCCTCAAAGGAAGTGACAGGACTTTCTTATCAGAAAAGTAGTTTTCATTAGGCATGTGTCCACTGGCCCCTGGGGTAAGTGTCCTGCAGTAGAGCCCCCAGGGTGTAGGCACTAACACTGCTTGTCTCTCTAACTTGTTTGCAGAGCACTGGAGCTCAGCAGAGGCAGAGATGAGATTTCTCTCCTGGTGGAACAGGAATTCTTGAGCCTCACCAAGGAGCACCTCATCCTGGTCCAAGAGAGACCAGAGGAGCTGGAGGATGTTGGTGATGATCCCCAGGGGACCAGAGAGCTGGCTCCTTGTGTTCTTGCACCTTTCCTGATGACAAGCAACAGTGAATGCCCAGGAGCCTCTCTCACTGCTGGTGACAGGCTTCAGGAGCAGAGGGTGGCCATGTCCATTACTGGCAGCCGTCAGGACTGCGATTCTGCCCTGCCTACAGTAACAGGCATCCTGCGTGCTGCCAAGATCAGGAGTGCCAAGGGGGCAGAGGATGGGGTCCCCAGTCTGGCTGACTGCAACTCAGAGATCAGCAAGCTCTTGGCCCAATTTCCACTGAAGACCACAGAAATGTCCAAAGCCCCTGACAACAAGATGTTGTTAGAGGAGACAAGGGTCATCAAGGACTTTCTGCAGAACAGCATTTTCAGTGGCTCTGGACCCAGAGAGCCCACGGGGCTAGGCCCCTTCATGCTCCTGCCTCCTCCACCACCTCCTGCACATCTGGACAAGCTCTCTGAGCTCCCTGGCCAGAAGAGACAGCTCCCAGTGTTTGCCAACATCTGTTCCAAGGCTGAAGCTGACCCCGCCACAGAGGGGCATCACTTGATGGGTGAGTGGGGCTAGGATCCCATAGAGAGTGTCCTACAAGGAGAAAAGTCTCCCAGGAAGCCAGGCAGGGCTCCAGTGCGTGGACAAAGTATCCTTGTGCAAAGCAAGACAAAATACCCTCTCTGGTGGGACCAGGCTCCCAGGTGCAGGGTGGCTTTGGCCTCCTGTCTTGGGCATGCACAGGCAGGGCATGGTTGTGGGGCAAGCATAGAGGCACCAATCCCAGCCCACTTTGTGAGGAGAGATAAGCACCCTGCAGTGGAGCCTGTAGTGACTGGTTCAGCTTTTGATTCCACCAGGTATCCAGAGCAAATTGGAGGCTCTGGGTGACACTGAAGCATGAGAACTTTCAGAAGGCCAGGAGAAGGATTTGATTGACTTTGATGGAGGTATCTGCTCTGGCTGACAGGCCTGTCCTCTCCAGAGCAAGGGAATGCATAAGTTATCCAGGCACAGGGACTCAGAAAAGTACCTTCCCATCCCCTAATTGAGAAGTCCATATCCTCAGGAAATGAAATCACCCCCCCCAACCTCAAACCAATCCCTACCACCACCCCAGGATTCTTCTTTTGTTTTGATCTCACCACTCAGACTGAATGGTTCTAGGGAGACAAATGGATAGCAAGTGGCATTCGCCCAGGGGCGGCCGTCACTAAGAGAGTAGATCATGCTCATGCCAACCAAAAGAAGAATCACTTTCAGACTGTGTGCATGGATGGGTAGCTGAGAGATACTTGTATCCAAAAGGTCCAAATCCATCTCTCTGAGAAAGCAAGATCACCTTCAAGAACATCCTATATTCTGGAGCACTGTAGGGAGCCCAGGAAATTGGAGTCAGGGACAGCAAGCGGGAGCTAGTGGCAGGCAGGCCTAACAGAGCCATCTGGGATGATGGGTTGACAGTGGGAGGGGACTCAGCCCTTCCCTAGGGGATGGGGACCTTTCTCCTACTCCTTCTGCTGGAGGGACCCATAGAGGACTCATGGATACCTCTATGCTGGGTGGGGCTACCAAATTGGACATGGTCCTTCCCACCCAGCCTCTCCATCATTTGTGTCTGTGCACAAATGTATGAGCAAAGGTGTGCCAAAGGAAACACTGCCAGTGTGAGTGTATTTGTTAGAAAATGCAGGAGTGGTACATCCACGTGTGTCTGTGTGTATGTTTGTTTGCCCATGTATCTGTTATGGGTATGATTTTGTGAATGAGGGAAAGGAGAGACTGGCAAGGGTGTGTGTGTGTGTGTGTGTGTGTGTGTGTGTGTGTGTGTTTACACTCCCATGCCCTGGACTCAGAGGAAGCAACCTTATAGATGTTTAAAGAACTGTAGATATGTGAGAGAGGTTGCCGGTGTGTATGTCTCTGGGGAATGGACTATTATTAGTTGCTATGTTATTTCAGTACACTAGCTAGGGGCTAAACTCAGCAACTAGAGAAACTCTTGGATGAGACTCCAGGGACATGTTTTGCTAAAATGTCATTGTATCCTGTATTGGCCCAGGCTGAAACATCACTTTCCTGTGTTGATAGTGCCAGGCCGGGCCCAGTCCTAGGCAGACTGTATCCCCAAAGTCCTCACAATTGGGAGCCCAAGAATTGGTGTGATAAAGTATACTCCAAGCAGGTAGCACTAAGGAACAAATCCTCTGATTTGGCCATGACTGGAATCCTCAGGTGCCTAAATTGTGTTCAATATAGTGTAGATGACTTTCATGGCCAACCTCTGTGGAAACTTCATAGCCACCACATAGGGAAAGGAGAGAAGAAGAGGAGGAGGAAGAAGAAGAAAGAAGGAGAAGGAGAAGAAGGAGTGAAGGGGGATGACAGTTCAGGGCCTTCAACCAGGGGGAGATATATATATATATACATATACATATACATATACATATACATATATCCCCTCAGATACCAAAGCGGCGGGTGCTCAGGTCCTTATGTAAAATGGCAAATAACCAGAGCACATCCTCCTACATACTTACCCTCCTTTATAGTTTAAATCATCTCTAGATTAGTTATGATACCTAATACAATGTAAATGTTATATAAATAGTTGTTTTACTGTATTGTTTAGGAATAATGACAAGAAAAATGTCTGTGCGTGTTCAGTAAAGGTACAATTTTTCAGGATATTTTTCATTCATTCTTACATAGACACATTTAATTCTGTTTGAAACCTTTCCAGTGCTAAAAGGACATGTGGGTGGAAGCACGGCTGAGGAGGACCCCATCATGGTGCAGGCAGTATTCCTACACTTGGGGATGAACGTACAATCTATTTGGACAAGACCAGAGCCTGGCACCAGTTGGGTCCCTCCAGAACACTCCAATGATGCTTCCCAGCCTGTTGCACCTTCCTCTCCAACCACCTTACGTGCAACCACTTGCTGAAACCCTATTTCCTTCTGAGAAGAAAGGACCTTCTCAGCCAGCATCTTCTCTTGCTTTGTCCCTTTGTCACCTCATGTTGCCCATCTGCCTTGTCTTGGAGCTATTTCCAGCATGTCTCTCTCTTCTTGGTTGTTGTGAGCTCCTGCAGGGCAGAGTCTGGCTCTGACTCATCACTGTGTCCCCAGCACTCAGGGCAGGGCCTGGAAATGACAAGTGAGCTGAATTGCCTCTGAGCAATACAGCAGAGTTAAGAGTCCATGGTGAAGGACCAAGCCGTGTGGCTCTGACTGCATGTTCTGTTGAGATGTGTCTTCTCCATAAGTCATATGATCCCTGGTGGGAAGAACTGTGTTCAGGTTATCCTTATGTCCCCAGCCTGACACTTGGAAGGCTAGAAGGAAGTGAAGAGACAAGGAAGGACAGAGAGCGGAGGGATGGAGCAAGGAAAAAAGAAAGAAATGAAGTTGGGGAAAGGGAAGGACAAAGATAAATATGGATGGATAGATGGATGGGTGGATGGATGGATGGATGGATGGATGGGTGGATGGATGGATGCATGAAACAGTAAGGCCAAACTAGGCACTGATTAAGGAAAACTTTAGGGAGATACTTGGGGCTGTACTTGGCTGAATGAGAATCCCCAGACTCAAGTGAGCCCCAGATGGGTGTTGCAGGGAAGCCACCATTTAGTCCAGAAGAAGGCGGCCCACTGTGTCTAGCACTTGGCCTTCCGGAGGCTTTGACTCAGTTTTCTTCCTGCCGTAGAATGGAACCCTGGCATGAAGGAGCTGACCAAGAATCAAGAAAGCCTCTTTCTCAACCAGTGGCCTCAGAATCAAAAGGACACTTGTGGAGAAGAGAGTCACAGTGACCCAGTGGGCACCATGTCCACCAAGAAGCCTGCATGGCCAGCTGAAAAGAACCTGCTGTATGAGTTCCTTGGGACTACCAAGAACTCAAGTGGACAACTGAAGCTCTGCAGCAAAGTGGACGTGGATGGGCTGGAGCTAAAGCGTAAGTTTACCGTACCCAGAGTGGGGCTGTGGAGGAAAGGGTTCCCGAGACTCAGACCCAGCGGCTGTGTCTTATCCAGAGTCAAGGTTTTCCTTGGGTGTCAGTATTTTTAAATCCTTAAAATGGGGAAATAACTTTCCCCCCATATCCTTTATTAGGAATATAATTTCTAGAGAATTGTAGTTTGTTTGCAAAAAGTCCTGACCTAGGTTACATATCAATAGCTTCTCAGATTTCCCAAGTCAAAAAAAATCATGATGTAGATTATGATTATTTCTACACTGAGATTATTCATGTCCCTTTTGTCTCTCACTTGCCTTCCTATATCTTTTTTAATCAAAGTTCTTTTCCAAGAAAGATGCCAATACAAGGGAAACTGAGGACCCATTTGTGATTGCACAAACCCACAGGACATCTTTCAGAGGAGGAGAATCTGGGGTTCATATCTGGAAATGACTCAATGTCATTTATTCTTTTTTTTTTGTCTTTTTAGTTTTTATCCGTACCAGGAATGGAACTCATAACCACACACTTGCAAGGCAGGCGCTTATGCCTGCTAAATCCCCAGCCCCACAATGCCACTTATTATTTTAGGCTAATTTTGAGTCAGCCCAAATTGAATTATTTGAATGTGTTAGAATGTTAAAAAAGAAAAATATTCTCAATCAGACATAATGGTTCATCCCTGTATTGTCAGTACTTGGGAGACTGAGGCAAGAGGATCTAAAATTTAAGGTCAGCCTAAGAAATTTAGAGAGATTCTGTAACCAAAAAAGTTACCAGTATAGATGCAACAGCCAGTGCAATATTCTCAGTTCTGAGTGTATGGCACTGCTTGGGGGCTGCCTTAATCATTTGAATCCCAAATGGCATAGAATTTGTTTGTATAAAGACAAATTTTTCTAAAGCATTGGAAAGAATTTGATTTTATAAATGCTCTAGGTGAAATCTAGCCAGAGCAACCTGGTTATTGTTTCCTTTGATATCCTGCCTCCTTCACTAAGAATGGTGGAAAGAGAGGCTCTAAGCCAGACAACAATGCTAGGGTTTTCATTCCTTCAAAACAGGCCAGGTGTGATCTAATGATGTTTCTTATAGTTGAGACTCACCACGACTTTGAAGAACCTCTTGGAGTTGAGATGACTAGACCCCTGAGAACAGAGCTCTCCAGTGATGGCCCTGGAGGCATCCTGTCCTCTCTCTGCCTCAATCATTGAACAGATTTCCCTCTCCTGTGACTTACAGTTAACCCGCCGGTAACAGCTGCAGAGAAGAACAATCTTAAGTACACAGGGAATGTTTTCACCCCACGCTTTGCCACAGCTTTGACCTCACCCTCCATGAACCAGCCGTTCTGGCTCAATTTGAACTGCCCACCTCCACAGGTGTTCGGCAATCACTCTGCCTTCCCACAGTATCAGGTGAGTGGTGGCTGTGGCCCTCCTGGCCATGGTAGAGTATCCATATCTATATGGTTTCTGGGTGATAAGAGAGGTGTGGTATACAGGAAGCCAGCTGCTGGAAAATCCTGACTTCCTTTGAACACCATCTATATACTCCAGAGACCTTATGGGGACAACAGTAAGACACTATCAGTGTGGTGTCTCATCCATTATTGCTTTCATTGTGACCACATCAAACCAACCAGTAGGTATACACACAGGCGTGCATATATCTTTCTAATTTTCTACTACTTGAATTCTAGTTCACATTGTGTTATTTATTTCAGCACTCTTTGCTATCTTTGGCTCGTTAAGTGCTTGTCTCCCAAGATAGGAGGGATGTCATGGTCCTTGTTTCTCACCTGCTTCCTGTAGCTTCTGTGGCATATATATTAGATTACTTAGGACAATTCCAGCTTAGGTCTTTTGTCTGAGAGTAATTATTTATGGCACCCTCTCAAGTGTCATAGTTTGGATGACAGATAATGACCACCTTATTTAAACCATACCCAGAAAGTCTGGATTTAGACCAGCCAAGGTGTCCAGGCACATGTTCTTGGTCTTTGGCTCCTGGCAAAGAAGGAATTAGTGGCCAGACATAAAAGGATGGTGAAACACTTGTAGCAGGGCTTGAAATTTTACACACAGAATTTACTTATGCAGGGAAAATGTAGTTTCTTTATTTTGTCCATTTAACTTGATATCCCTTAAGAGATGCAGCCCACTCAGCAGAAGGAGAAAAGAATCAAATAAATGTCCATTCTGGTTTAAGCTTTGTTCAATCCAATAACTTAAATAGTCCCTTTAGATAGTGCTCAGTTTTTTCAGGAAAGATGTTCATGTAAGATTTCTCAGTTTTCTGCTCCCCTTCCTGGCTCCTCTTCAGGATGGCATGCAGTTGGGTGGGGAAAGTATAAGAACTTGGGCTTGTGTGTCCAATACTTTGGCCATCTGCTGCCCCACCCTGGCCTGGCAATGCCTGGAAAGAGGAAACAGGGAAGCAAATATGCTGGTATTTGGACGGTCTTTCTCCATGTCCTTTCCCCACTCACTACCCCTTTGTACCTTGCATCATTTCCTCTACTACAAGAGCAACAGACTTATATTTTAGATGCCCTGTGCAGAAGGGGAAATTTTCTCTATTGCATATAAAGACTCTGTGAGCTGGTCCACTGGTGTAACTTCTGAATCATAAAGGAATTTAGCAAAGTCTAATTTTTCAGTTTTATATTTAAACTTGTTTGTTTACCAAAGAGAACAAGTACCACTCTCTGGCCAGGTACGAAAACCCTCATGCCTGCAATTGAAGTGAAGGATTGCAATGAAAAGTCATCTGTAAAGGGGAAAGTAGTGGGTCAGTTTCACATTAGTGATATCATCTTTACACAAGTCTTGAGAGAAGCGTTCTGTTAATTGATTTACAGATTCTGTCCTTGTTCCATTTCTTCCCTTGATCTTTGGAGTTTGCTTATCCACTGTTTGTCTATTTACATCTTCACTGATTTGATAATTTCTATTTATTTAGTCATTGGCTTACATAATTTCAGAAGCCTTTGTTTCATGCTTACTGTTACCTTAGCGTTATGTTAAGTGAGGATATTCAAAGATGACAAAGAGTCTTGGAGTGTAGTGCAAGTTAGGAATAAATGAAAGACCCACGGGGTGCACTTCAACCTTTAAAAAAAGAAACGGGTGAATAATTTTATTTAGTGTAAATGCATTCAGTCTAAAAAACACTCATAGAGCTCACATGTAAAGCTAACGGTTTCCTGTACAAAGTGCGGAAGGTATCTCCTTGCTATCTTAATTCCTTCTTAGTTGACTTGTTGAAGGGAGTGAGATTGGACACATTTTCTGAGCACGAAGGTCCGCTGTTTTCAGAGACACTGGTGTTTGCATTGCAGGGTGCCTACAATGAGGCTCCCTAGCTGTGGACACAAGCCGAATAAGGGCCTGGCAGAAGGACCTAGGGGCTCTATAATGGACATCACTGAACTCAGCTGTAAAAGGAATTGAGTCTCCCAAGTAGTAACACAAGATACTCTCACACAGCTTCTTAGTACCATAATGCTACCTAGCTTCAAGACAACTGATCAAGGGCTCTGGGACAATAGAGAGAAGGCAGATTTTGAAATCTGTAGACTTGGGTATAAGGGCTCTGCTGCTTCCAAGTTGTGTGACCTAAGGCAAGTTAGTCAGCTGCTCTGAGTCCTGGCTTCCTGTTTGTGAAATGAGTGCATTGTAATTATAGCAGAAGCAGCGCAGGATGTTTTGGTTGTAAGAATTAATTGAGTCTATGGATGGAAAAGTACGATATAGATGTGCGATTTTTATTATTATTTGGCTGTGAACTTCCAAGAAAGCAGGACCTTGAGGAAGCAGAGAGGAGAACTGGGCCTGATCTTTCCTGGTCTCTTCCCTGTTTGGCGTTAGAAATAAGAAAAATATAAAGTCCTAAATTTAGTTTGCTTGGATCTCTGTGGTAGAGAGACTCAGAAACAGAAAGATAAAGTCCCCAATACCCAGGTGCTCTAGCAGCTCCAGGTATGCTTGGCATAAAAGGACACTGCTCCCCATTAAGGAGAGATGCTGTGTGGGAAAGAGCTTTAGCCTCAAGCCAAAAAGAGCGAATGTTTATTTACTCTTGCTTGGGATTTTGCAAAACTACAATTCTAACAACTGGAAATGTCCTTAAAGCTGAATGGTGTGGCTCATACTGATGTTTGAGGCAATGTCTCCTTCAAGGATGGAGCAGGGATGGGCATTGTGCATCTCCCCACCCTGATCCTGTGGTGGCCTGGCACAGGACATGTGTGGGCCATGGAGGCCTCTATGCTGCTCTCTGGCCCTGGGAAAGTGGCTCAGTAGGCAGAGTTAAGTGCTAATAGGATCAGAAAGGGGTAAAATTAGGGGAACGCTCATCAAACTGCCCAGTGGCCTTGTAGCCTACTTAGTGCTAGAAATGGACAGAGCCACTCCTCTGTGTGTCCTCCTTATCCAGGCTCTGAACAAGGCCAGTGTCACAGCGAACAGAGGGGTCATGATGGTGAGTGAGGCCGCCCTGGCTGCAGGGCCTGGAGGAAAGGGAACAGGGGGCTGATTTCAGGTGAAAGTCTCATGGAAGTAAGATGCACTAGGCACTGAAATGTCTGAAGTGACACAGACCCTGGAGCAGACAGCAGAGAGGCGCTTGCCTGGAGATTGTTCTGTCTTGGGTATCTGAAGGGTGGACCACTAGGAAAGTTAGGGGGAGCCTGCAAGTCAGAGGCTCTGAAGCCTTTCAAAAGGACCCCATGGACTTTGGGGATGTCTTTTTCTTTTTCTTAGAGAAAAAAGCAAAACAGAAAAAAGGGTGGAAATAACAGAATTTTAAAAAAAACAGTAAGAAATCACTAGTTGATAAATTACATATTATTATTTTAGAAGTAGTTGCTCAAGTCACAAAATCAAAGCATAAAAAGTAGACAGTCAGGGGGCTGAGGATTTAGCTCAGCGGCATAAGCGCCTGCCTTGCAAGCAGGCAGTTGTGAGTTCGATCCCCGGAACGATAAAAAAAAAAAAAAGTAGAGAGTCAAATAATGACAGCACAAACCATTCAGTTTGATGAACTAACAAAAACTTAGTATGGTTATCTATCTTGTGCCCTTATACATACAGTTATATCCTTTAGAGCACTTTCTTTTCTTTTCATTATTAAAATATCTATTATACATTTTGGATCTTATTAATCTTTCAGCTTTTATTATTATTTTTATGCTAGAGAGACAATGTGATATTTACAAATGTGAGTCTGATTTGTTTCACTTATGAGGATAGTCTCAAATTGCCTCCAGTTACCTATAAAAGCCTCAAGATCATCCTTCTTTATAGCTGAATATTATTCCACTGTATAAAAATACCACATCTTTTTCATGTATTCTGCGGTTGGTGGGCATTTTGCTTGTTTCCAAGATTTAACTATTACAAATTGCTTGAGGGAGTTCTTAAGAGCATAGTAAAAGCTGTCACTACATTGGTCGTTGGCAGAAGTCATACCCAAAAGGGGAGCAGCGCATCAATAGGGTAAAAAACGCTCTGAGAAGATGTCCTGTCCTGGGCTGACAGCCGCATTGGCCTCTGAGCCTCTTTGTAGGGGAAACTCTGGCTTGGCAGCTAGAGGCACAGTCTGAGACTAGAGTGGTCATCGGTTGGCTCAGCCTCAAGAGTTTAGGAGTGTGTGTGCCTTGTGCTTGTGTGTGGACAAATGCATGCCCCACATTCTCCCAGACAGAGCTGTGAATACTCCTTCCACTTCCCATGTGACTGAGCTGCCTGCCACAGCGCCTTTTCAAGGGAGGGTGCAGGGGGAGATGATGGACAGACTTAACATTTACAGAGCCCTTACTGTGCGCCGGATACTGTTCTCAGTGCCGTACATGCATTAACTCATTTTCTCACCCTGTCCCTCCCTGAAAGCTACAGCATCAGGAGTGTGGCAGACATACACATGCAGAGCAGCAGAAGCTCAGGCTAACACGCCTAAGGTCAAAGCTGCACCCTTGTGTGCAGAAAACACAGACATACGGACACAGTCACAAACATGCATGTAGGTGGACTTAAATAGCGTGAGTGTACACACACACACACGCACACACACTCAGATGAGACAGATAGAGGCAAGACATTCACGAAAGTTGGGCAGACAGCACCTAAGATAATGTTGCTGTCTTCACAGGCTTTGCAGGCCTGAATACACAGGGCTGCAGATGAGAAAAAAGGGGCAGAGAGGTGAGTCACAGAGCCACTCAGGGAAGATCTGGAAACCAAGGGGTAGTCAGACTCCTGAAGCTATTATTTCAGTCACTCCAAGGAGGCTTGAAGCTTAGCAAATGAGGTGTGCTGTGAAGCATGAAGCATACTTGTCCCAGCCTGACTCCAGCGGTGGCCACAACTGTGAGGGGCTAAACTCAACCCTGACTGCAGACCCAGCTTGTGGGCCCGAGAGATGAAGCTGCACAGCTCAGCCTCTGACGGGGAGCCCTTGCCCAGCAGCACTGAGCCTCTGTGTCTTCTCCTAGGGCGGTGTGTACCCACAGAGGTCACCCAGGATGCCCTATCAGCAGACTGTGCCTCCTCAGCTAGGCTGCTACTCCAGACAGGTGAGTAGGTGACCTCTCTCCTCTGTCTCAGTTCCATGAAGGCCTTTGGGTTACAGGGCTTCTTCATCTTTGTCCAGCTGGTCATCTTCTGTACTTCTGGCCCATTATTGGCTCTAGTGTGCAGATACACATAGAGACCTGGGTGGGGAAACACAAACCAAGGCCCACTGTGATGGTAACAGCAGCCTTTCTGTGTACCAGGTCCTCCTCTAAGGGCTCCACCTGCACTAAATGAACCTTCAAAACCAGTCTGCAAGTAGATTATAGACGAGGAAACCGAGAAATATAGCGATTAAGTAATTTGTTTGAGGTCATACAGTTAACAAAATTTTACTTTGGCAATAAATGCCCTCAATGTTTCAGGGGCTTCTAACAATGAACATTCAATTCTCATTCAAGAGTCTAAAGGTTGGCTCACCTGGGCTGAGGATCAGAGCTGGACTGAAGATGCAGGAGCTCTTGTTATTCCAATAAGGACAGGAGTGCTGGGGGCTCTGAGGACACTTACGGTGCTTCCACAAGCTTCAGCACAGAAGTGATACTTGGAAATGTACCCGTTTTCCACTGGCCAGAGCAAATCACATGGCTCTGGCCATATTCCTGTGCTGGAGAGTACAGACCTCCTGTTCGATTTGAATTTTAGATCAACAATAAATAAAGTTTTAGTATAAATACTCATGTCTGAAATACTGGATGAGGACATATTTATGCTAAAAGATTTTTCATTGTTTATCTAAATATCAATTCAGTTGTGTATACTGCAGTTTTATTTGGTAGATCTGGCAACATCTTGTTTGCAGGTAGGTTGGAAATGAAAATTTGACGTCTGACCATGCAGCCTGGCACTCCCAATCACTATGCTTTGTCACCTTTTGTACACAGTTGCATTAAAACACAGTATTAGAATACAGCAGTGAGAGCAGCAGTGCAAACACACACACTCAGCAGCAGGTGGGAACGCAGACATGGTTAACACACGGACCAAGCAGCCTCAACCCACACGTACAAACACATACACATAGTACATGATCAGAGAGTAGTGAGTCTGCTGCCGGGTTGGGATATGAGGAAGATTGCTGGGAATGCAGGGCATAGAGGGCTCAGGAGATCAGGTTGCCATATCCCCAGGCTGGTGTTGCCCTCACACACGTAGATGGACACTCCCATGCCCAAACTCTATGTTCTTCTGCTTCACTTCTTTCTCCAGGGAGCTCTGCCTTTTCTCTACAGACTGCATCTCTGACCTGAAATATGCTAGAACGTTTGGGAAGGTAGAGATGGGCCCATAGGTGTAAACCACTCTATTATGTGAGCTGAGACTGCTTTGTCTGCAGTGAGGCAGGGATGAGAGAGTCTGCCATGGGAAACCCCAGCCACATCCCTTTCACCCCAACAGTGAAATTTCTACCTGCTTCAAAGAAAAGATTTTTAGACAATTATGCGTGTGCACATATGTGCATATATTTCAAGATAGAAATATAAAAGCATAGCAGAAGATTAAAAACCTAGAGGCAGTCATTGTTTACTGATTTCTGACATAGTCTTTAAGTGATGTCTATTCAGATAAACATTTCTGTAAAAATGAAGCTTTCCAAGTATGCTGTTCTGCTGCTTTCTGGAGATGGTTTCAGAGCAGTGGACAGAGCCTTGGTGATGGCTTTTATCCATCCCATGGAATCATGGTACATTTTCAAACAACTCGTCTGTACTCAGAGAGTCACCTTTTCCATTCAAGTCTCTTCTAGGATCAGGCTTTTCCTCCAGTCACAAAGAAGGGAGAGTTCCCTCCTCGGGCTCCACAGGGACCTGCCTTAGGAAGTGGCCTTCTGTGTCTGTTTGATGAGCTCCTGGCATGTTCGCCCTTGGTCCCCTGGGTTTCTGTGCCTGTGTCCATCATCACCAGACCTTGCATCGTCACTGTGGGAATAATGGCAAAGGCCAGGGAGGGGCTCAGCTTTTAGAGATGGCACAGTAAGCAAAGCTAGAAAGGGGTACAGGCTCTGGGCATGGCCTGTGGGTGGCTTAGTTTAGTTTAGTTTTGTTTGACTGGGGATTGCACTATACTACATCCTCAGCCCTTTCTTAATTTTTAAATTTTGAGGCAGAGTCTTGCTTATTTGGTTGGGTTTGAATTTGAGATCTTCCTGCCTCAATTTCCCAGATTGCTGGGATTTCAAATGAGTGCCATTACATCCACCTCCCACTGAGGTTCTAACTGCAGTTTAAAACTGATGACACCCACTGAAAAAGTCACTTGACTTGTCCAAACCTCAGTTTCCTCATCTCCAAAATGGGAATAATAATGGCCCTACCTCACTGGGCTGCTTGAAGTTTCAATGAGAGAATCTATGTGAAGGTCTGGCACTCACTGAGCATTCAAACGTGCTGAGCTGAGTGAGTTGTTATTGGCTTGGGGTACTTAGAGGCTCTCCTAGTGCCATTCTCCTGAGCATCAAGACTCCAGAATCTTGGTGGTAGTGTGGAAATTCAGAAGCTTTGCCATGTTTTGGCTGAAACTGCCCTCAGCACACAAAAGATGGATAGATATTGGCTCCATAGGAGACAACATTTCTGATTTTGTCAGCAGTAGGATATAGTGCTCAGGAGGTAATGAACTCCCTGTCGTTTCAGGTATTTAAACAGATATTGGTGTGCCTTCTCTCCTCCCTGGCAGTCATTCACTGGGCATGTGTTTATTGAGCAGTCACTGTGTACTAGGCACTATCTTGAAGCTGGGAGATGTCAGCCAATAAGGCAGAGGGTATTCATGCCTTGTCAGGAGAACCAGAGCTCAGTTCTTGATGAGAGTTTCTTCAAGGCAGTCTCAGAATCCCCCTAAATTCTTGTCTTTCCTTTGGGCTTGAGCTGAGCCCTGTTGTCCACTCGGCCTTTCTGCTAGTTTCACATTGTCAGATTAGGTAGCAACTAGTCACGTGTGGTTCTGTAAATTTAAATGAACTTAAATGTAAAATTAAATGACATCCCCAATTCTGTTCCTCACTTCCACAAGCCGGATCTCAAGGGCCCAGGGGAGACTTATGTGGCTACCATGCTGGACAGCATGGACAGACCACTTCCACCCCCGAAGGAATTTCCCCTGGGCAGGGTTGTCTTCAGCTCGGAATCTGCCAAGATGGTGAGATAGAAGCCAGGGCTATGTAAATCACAGCAGATTTGCTTGGGATAATAAACGCTTTAAAAATGAACAAGGAGCTTTGGGGATGGTTATTGACAGAGGGAAAGAAAGAAAGACAGAGAAGAGAATGGAAATAATGTTGGATTGCTATTTATTTTGTGCCTGTCTCTTTACTTACATCAAGTAACATGATCCCCTCACGCTGTAGATAGTGTTTGTCTACTTTACAGATGAGGCAATTGAGACTAAGATAAATTAGGTAACTTGCCAGCCTCACTTAGCCCTGGGCTTTTTCCATCCCTACATAGAGACTGAGCTGTGGCAGCTGGGTAATTTAGGGGTAAAGCTGGGAGATGATGACCTTACCCTCTCTCCTCTCTGACCCTCAGGTGACACTCTACAATCCACAGCAGATGGGACAGCAGATCTTCCGCTCTTCCTACACCCCCCTGCTGAGCTACATCCCTTTTGTCCAGCCCAACTACCCATATCCACAGAGGACACCTCAAAAGCTGCCCACCAATCCCAGAGACCCTTCTCCTATGGCAGGAGATGGGCCACAGTACCTCTTCCCCCAAGGATATGGGTGAGTTCTACAACTACACTGGAGAAACCAGCTTGTATTTGGAGAGCTTCTAAAGAGGGGAGGAGAATGAGTTGGGGTCCCTGGACCCTTGCTTGGTCTCTGTAGCTCATGGCGGTGAGAAGGTAGAGTCTTCTATTGTGACCAGGCTGGCGTGGAGGTGAACATGCTCCAGAGGTATGATTTAGGCTGCAACTCTACAGTCTGGCTGCCATGTCAGAAGCAAAGACACCCAACTCCATGGGCAGTGGCAGGCAGTGGGGCATGACACAGTGTGCTTGCCCGTTTGCTTGGTTTACAATAGGACATGGCCAGGTAATCCGCTTATGACTTTCTTCCCCACTGGCTGCACCCTGAAGTTCTTGCCAAGCAAATCTCCTGAATACCCCCTTGACATCCCACATGGCATCATTCTTCTGGGTCTAAATTTCCAAGACATACCATGGGATGTATGTGCCCCAGGTTGAGAAATTCAGTTTCTAAGGATTAGGACCAAATTACTCAACCTGACATTGATTCCCATCTAGCTACTTTCTCTGCGGTGTCTGCCACACATCCCCAAACTAACATCCTTTCAATCAGCATTTTTTCAATATCTTGTTAAAAGGGGTAATTGCTAGAAAGAGGTTTCAGTAGTCAGACCTGTTTGGGAAAAGCTGTGAGAAACAAAGATAAATAGATTCCTTAACTGTTGGAATTCCTGGATCATTTAATTTCCTAGGGTGTGTGGGGAACATTTGAGAAGGTGGTCGATAATGTTATTTGAACATGATAGCCACAACCCCAGTCAACTATTTCTCCCGACTCCCATTCCTTTTTCCCTGCCTCCCCACCCCTTGTTTTTATAGAATACATTGTGGTGTATTTCACCCAACACACCCTAGGAAGTACTGTGTTAATTTCTGTAGTTAATTTGAATTTAGCCTGCAGGGGACCCACAGATGAATAGGACCCACTTCCTCTCTTCAGAGAGAAGAGAGCAGATGAAAGGTGGGCACAACATGTTATTGCCCTGGCAAAAAAAAAAAAAAAAAAAAAAGCAACCAAAGAGGTAGCCCTGAGGCCAGAGGAGGAACCCCGCAGTGAGCCATGAGCGTGGAAGGTTCAACAGACAAGGGATCCGGGACCTCAGACGGGAAGGTGCGCAGTGAGCTGGAAGCCTGGGAATCGGGGCTTCTGGCTGAAGTATTAGATTTATTTCTGAAAGAGGCGGAAAATAGGATTGGAAAGGGGAGGTTAGCATTGGATTATTACAGGCTTTTTTGCAGCTAACCCTGGGGAGCCAAGAATTTGTGCACTCAGAGTGAGTTGATGGGGGAAGAAGAAGAAAAGGGGAAGAAAGAGAATGGAGGAAGAAGAGAAAAGATACAGTCTGGAGTCGGCCTTGGGGATCCAAACAAGAGGTTATTCCTCAGAATCACCCTCTCACGTGTAGGCCAGGAAATAGCCCGTATTCCAGGCTGTGACTGTGGACTCAGGAGGTTTGTCCTGGGGAGGGAGGGTGGCCCGAGGTCTTGGTCAGGTATAGAAAGCACTGGCCAGAACAGTAGGAGTGGAAGAAGATGAGATGGTGTTTGCATGTCTGCAGAGGTGCAGGAGATGGGGAAGAAGGAGTGGAAAGGAGACTGAGGAAGGACTGTTTGAGAAGTAGGAGGGAGGGGGGGGGCCAGAGTCACTGGGGGCAAAGAGAAGGGTGATGAGTGAGGAGCAGCGGTCAGCAGGGGGAATGGCACCCTGAGGGGGTGGGGAAGCCAGGACAGCAGGGAATCGGTTTGCATCACTCTCAAAACGATGATGTGTGTTGTATCCCAAGAAGACTGAGTCAGTGTCTTCTGGTGCCTGTCACTGGAGATTTAGAGTAAACAAGTCAGAGTATTTCTTCCTCTTCAGGAATTCCATCTAGTGGGGAACTAAACAACAAGGAGATGAGCAAGAAAACATGCGACACCAGGTGCTGGGGAAAAGGGGAGGAAGAACAGAGGGAGGTTTCTCAAGAGAAGAGCTGAATGAAATGAGAGCCTGAACCACGCATATAAAAGGGGAAAAAGAACTTAGGGTAGAGAGAATAGAAAGTGCAATGCATCCAGATAGTAACATCTGGATGGCTCACAATGAAAGAGAGAGTGAGAGTGGGCAGAATTGAAATCAGAGATAAGACTTGGTAAGCATGGTGAGTTTTCTTTTAAAAGCAGGAAGAAGCCATGAAGGCTTTTAAACTGCTGAGAATGTGGTCTAACTTTCTCTATGAAACAGATCATGTTTGCTAACGTATGAAGAATGGACTATACAGGGGTGAGCCGATGCAGGGAGCACAGCAGGAGCCTTGAGTACTGTTCAGGAAAGAGATGCTATGGACTTGATGAGGTGGTGAGTGTAGGAAAGGAGAAAAATGAAGTCATCTGGGATGTTCATTTTCCTGACAGAGTTGATGGTACTTGATGACAGTTGCATGTGAAATGTGGAAAGAGAAGAGCCAGGGTGGTTTGTAGGTTTAGATTTGTATAAATAAATGAGTGTCAAAATGCTAAGGTCAAGATGATTGGAGCAAGGATCTGTTTGTTGAGTTCAGTCTTGGACATGTGAACTTGGAGAAGCTTGTTAGACAAATGGGTGATTGACAAGGGAGGCTAAAAGTCAGGGGATAAATTTGGGAGTCATTAGCAAATACATGATTCTTAAAGATGGGGCCTTAGGATGGGATGCGATGGCTAAGTAGTGTGTAGTATAGAGAAGAAACCCGAGGGCTGAGCCCTGAGACAGCCAGCAGGCAGTAAGGCTGGAAGATGTAAAGGAACCAGCACAGAATCTAAAAAGACCTCCATTGAGAGGGGAGGCACACTACAGACTCAGGAAGGGAGCTGGAAGCCAAGCGCAGGAAGTGCTTTCTGGCAGAGAGAGGGAAAGATGGGAGAGTAATGGAAACTCACGCTCCACAGGAGGGAGCATGGGAAGCGCTAGAATGGTGATGGAGCTTAAGAGGGCTCCTGAGAGCAGCACAGCATGGCGCAGGTGAGGCTGCGTAGGCAGGAGACAGGTACTGCCAGAGCCTTTGTGGAGGATTTGGCCTAGAACACAGTCTAGGGTGTCCATAGAAGACAGAAGGCAGGAGACAAAACTGTGTGAAGTGGGAGAAGGAAAAGCAAGGGGCTTCCGCCGGGTCTTGGGGAAGAATGAGCAGAGGCGTTATTCTGCACATCTTCCTCAGGGCGGGATATCATGCAGTGTATCTTCTGAGCAATAATACATTTTAGATTTAAAAGGGCATGGGTAATAATTACACTGAAAAAAGCATGGTAGGTGCCCTGGACCACCCTCACCTCCTCCTTCTCCTTTGTCTCTTCCTCTTCCTTATCCCCTCTTCCTCCTCCTCTTCCTCATCCTTTGCTTCCTCCTTTCCCTCTGCCTCCTCCAGGGAGCATCTTTTGATAGCAGTAGTCCACATGTATCACTCCTTGTCATGGCCCTCTAGCTTACTTCCTATCCAGGCCAGGCCCTTGGTCCTTGATTCCCATCAGAAGTTCCCAAAGTGAAGCAGCTAGCTGCATGAGGTGTGGTAATCAGGACGTTTGTCACAAGAAATTTCTTCCTACAATTGTTACCACCTTTATTTTGTATAACAGTGAAATTTGGGGTTATCCTTGTAACAGTATCACTTTAATCATTCGTTATCCAAAATGACTTTTGAAAGAGAGAAAAAGTGTGTTTTACACCCTTGTCTAGTAGCACCAACTTCATGGTAGGGGCCAGAGGAGGTGCTGCGTATAAAATGGTCAATTGCCCAGGTGTTTTTCATGCTCTTGAAGAACTTATTTTAGTGTGAAGTGACTGAAACGTAACCAAAGCCTAGCTGGTCCAGGGATATTCCTAGAGAGAGACAGATACTGTTGGTTACCAACTGAGGCGTTCCAAATTAATGCAGTGTTTTGTTTCCATTACTTCTTCCTTCCTCTCCCCTGTCCTCCACCCACCCCGCCTTTGTTGTTTTATCAATTCACGAGAGGCTGCCTGGGACGTGAATCTGTTCTGCAATATGCATCTGCCCAGCTAAAAACTGATTGAGAATCCCTGGATTAGACTAAATCTAACTGTGCCATTTGCTCAGTTGCAATTTGTACTGAGCTCTGTTCTCATTCATTCAAAGCATTCCGGCAGATGGGTGAAGAAATTGTAATGGGATCCCAGGGGTGGGAGTACATCATCCCATCTGGAGAGTTCAGGGAAGGCTTCACATAGGAGATGGCTTTTGAGCCCAATGTTGAGGTATGAATAGGAGTGTCTCAAGAGAAAGGGCAGAGGTGTGCGTATTTCTTCTCTTCGAAAGTGGGCCGCCATCTTCTTGGCTCTTCTTTCTCTCAGGGCCTAGTGATACCACGGTGTTTACTTCTCTTAGTTATGTTGCAATGAGGGGCCTGGTTTTTAGGCAGTTGCTGGTCATGTAGAAAGTCTCCTGGAATTGTCTGAACCCTCAACTTTAATGCCTGGGCCTACTGCTATATTATCTGATGCTGTGGATACACCTAGTCCTCTAAGGCAAGTAGTGTGATCACGGGCATATAGGCGAGCTGCTCAGCTCCATAAAGACTTCTTTCTCTGTGTTTCTGGCATGGAGAGAGTTTAGGTCCCATAGAAGCAACTCTTACAGGCTTGCGGCAGTTTCCTGGTCCAAGTTAATGACACTAGAATTTATTGGCCTCTAATTGTGTCATTTTAATATTTTATTTTCCCAGAGCCAAAGTTTTTATTATGCTAAAGCTTTTAGCCTCCAAGCCTGTCACAGTTCTCACAGTCTTCAACTGCCACAGAATTAATTTTTTTCTAACTTCTCCAGTAACATCAGGAATTTAATCATGACAGCTATCCTTTCTCTCTTTCAGGTTCAACTCAACATCTGGCGGGACCCCGATGAACAGCCCTTATTTTTCGTCCAGTGGGAATGGGATCAATTTTTAGACTTCTTTTTTTTCCCCCTCCTCCCCTATAGCCCTTTGATCTAGGCTAAGAGCGCTAGCATTCTGGACTGTGTAATAGCTTGTTGTGAAGTTTCGAAAGCCAAGACTCAGACCAGGTCGTGGCCAGAAAACAGCAAGACCAGATTCACTGATTGACCATTTATGTTTGTAACGCACACACAGCCCCCTTCCACACAGCACAAGCCAACACATACCCTCCTGTTCACACTCACTTGGTCAACTACACAGGCACCTGTATTTCGCTAATATGAGTGAGTTTTATTTCTGTTGTTGTTAAAATAGGAGTAAGGCATTTACTTTTAGGAAGTTTGTATTTTATGATAAAACTCTGAACTGCATGAAACACATATGCTTGCTTATTTTTGTTATGATCTGTGTAATCTTTACTGCTCATTTTTCTCTGTGGAACTTTACATTTCCTCCAAACATGAAAGGATACCACAGGCTGGAGTCATCGGAGTACCGTCATCTGTAGATGTGGTACCCTAGGAATCAAGGTTGGGGACTTAACTCTTTTCTCCTGTGATCTACTTACTTCTCAACATCCCACTGTACGCATCCTGCTTTCTGGACATCATGAATGGAGTGAGCTCACCCATGTTTATTCCAAGTGGAGGTTTTACAGAAAGTCCCTTTTAGACACAAGATGGAAAACAAATGTGGTCTGACAAACATCAAAGTGAACCCTAAATGACGAACTGTATCTAATGATTTATGTCAGTTTCAACCCAGAAGTCAACCTCAGCATTAATAGTGCTGCCTTGATCTGTCTTGTCCAGCTCTTATTAACAACACTGACAGCACCCTGATCACCTTTCTGGAGGATATGCACATCTGGATACATTGTGATAACACACATTCTCCAACTCTCTTAGTCTAGGCCCTCCCCAGGGCTTGAACTTAGAGAGAGCCACAGATGCATTCTCTGTAGGCACTCCAGGCACCCCTCACTGCCCAGAGTTGGTCTGTGAAATGAAATCCATGTGCTTTTCATTACAAACACTAACAAGATACAATTAAACAGGAGTTACGGTAAGGATATACTCTCCGTGTATAAAATGAACTATGCATGTATGCAACAGACTGACACCAGTTCTAATCTGTCTTGCTAGGCCTTTTGGTCACCTGAAAACTCAACTCCACTGTGACAGCAACATCTGGTGACACTAGGAGCCCTGCTTCTGGTAGAAATTAGAGGCTAGAAGGTTGAAAGTCATCCAACATCTTGGGATGACTTCAAGCCCATGCCCACAAAAACGTTTCTCTGAACCTTATCATGTGACACATTGGCCTCAATGGCATTTCTTTCTGGATCCCTTGAAACTACTTCTCCTAAGTTCCCTGAGGACTGATGGCTTCTTCTGTTGACCATGATTTGGAAGTCATCATGATCCTTTTGCCTTTACTTTCAGTATTTCTGGTTTCCTCAGTTCTTGAGTTCTATTAATGGTACTAGTAAGAGTTGTGAGTATTGACGGTGGGGCTGGAGAAAGGTGAAATCAAGGGGTTGATGTACTGAATATCTCCTATCTGGCCCCACAAAGCCGGGAGCCACAGGTAGCTCTACAGAAACAGGAGATGTTCCTCGGAAGAAACTTATAGAGCATGCGTAAGAATTGCGGATCTGAGGACTCTAGGGAAAAGTGAGGATTAAGTGAGACCTACATGCACACCATGTAGCCAGGAAGCTGGAGGCTCGGGGCTCGGACCAGGAAGCAGGTGAAAGGTCCTCTGGAGAAAGAGAATTATCTCAAAGGCCTTCTGAGGTACCAATGGGAATTAACCTGCAATTAACGCCCTTGTACAAAGAATTTCCAATCAGCTTTTAGGACTTGATGCTGAATAGGAATCGTCTGTTCCTATCCAGTGGAAGAAAGATTAAAACAAAGGTAAAAAGAAACTAAGAGAGACAATAATATTCTAAAAGACATAAGAAAGAATCATGCATTTAAAAAATAAAGACAATATATACATATTTAAAATGCAAGAAAACTTTTGGAGAAAGTAAAAAAATACACTTGATTTAATTTTATTTCAGAGAAAGGTTGGAAGTTATTATCAGAGGAAACTTGTGAAAAGAAGAAAAGAAATGATATGCAATGTATTCTAAAAGATACATCCAGGAGAGCCAATATCTGGACAACAAGAACTCTGGGCTGCAGAGTAAAAACGGAGGGACAAGCATCTCCTGATGAAATTTCAGAGTATCGGGGAGACAGATAAGATAGAACAATTTTCAGAGACACATTAAATGATAAAAGGTTGGGATGGCATCATATTTCTCAACATTAATACTGGAACCTAGACACAGAGACAAAGGATTTATTTAGAGAAGAAAGCAAAACAAAGTGCAGAAATAACACAGAATTTTAAAAAAAAGTAAGAAATCACTAGCTGATAAATTACATATTGTTATCCTAGAAGTAGCTGTTCAAGTTACAAAATCAAAGCATAAAGTGGACAGTCAATCAAACAATGACAGTACAAACTATTCTGTTTGATAAACTAAGAAAAACTCAGTAGTATGGTTATCTATCTTGCACATCTAAACATATAAACAGTTATATCGTTTAGAGCACTTTCTTTTCCTTTCATTATTATATCTAGTATACATTTTGGATTTTATTATTCTTTTATTTTATTATTTTTAATACTAAAGAAACATATTTACATTTACAAATATGAGTCTGATTTCACTTATGAGGATAGTCTCAAGTTGCCTCCATTTACCTATAAAAGCCTCAAGATCATCCTTTTTATAGCTGAATAATATTCCATTATATAAAAATACCACATCTTTTTCATCCATTCTGGGTTTGATGGGCCTATTGGTTTTTTTCAAGGTTTAGCTATTACAAATTGTGATGCTATAAACATGGGTGCACATAAATCACTGTGACATGACCTTTTCCATTTTTCTGGGAAAATACTCAGGAGGGGAATAGTTCGATTGAATAGAACTTCCAATCCTAGTTTTTTGAGGAATTTCCATAATGGCTGTGCCAGTCTACACTCCCACCAACAGTGGAGAAGTGTTCCTTTTTCCCCACAGCCTCGCTAACATTTATTATCAGTTGATTTCTTGATTAGAGACAAAGGATTTGAGAAAAATTTTGAGTGAAAATTATTTTAATTACAAACAATCAGTGAAGGCAGGGAATGTTTTCAGATACTCAAGAGTCTCAAAACATTTAGCTCCTGTTAAGGGACAGGCTAAAATATGAAGTTCAACCAATGTGAACTCTGGAAAAACAGGTAACTAGTGCTGGAGAGAAATTCAGGAGATCCTTGAGGTGACAAATAAGGAAGAACTTACATTATGAGCCATCCTCTCACTGGGGTAGTGGTGTGAGTCAGGAATCCCAGCATTCTTGTAGACTGAGGCAGGAGAGCTTCAAATTCCGGCCCAGCCAGAACAAATTAGCAACTTAATGAAACCCCGCCTCAAAAAAAAAAAAGTTTGGAATGTAGCTCAGTGTGAAAGTCCTGGGTTCTTTTGCAACCTCTTATGCTGATGGAGCTGAAGAGGCTGAAGAAAAGGCAAATAGTAAGTTTTCCAAGGAGCTGAGTCTGGAAAACTGTACAGTGAGATGTTTTATAGCACTTGGTAGATGTGTGGGAAGATTTAGCTATAAATTGAAATTAAAAAATGAAGCAATTGTTATTAGCTCAATGATGAATAATATTTACATGGCCCTAATAGTAAAAAGCTCAAATATGGATTTAGGCAGAAATGGTGACGTAGCTAGCGTGGGAAGATGGAGGGGAGAAGAAAGGTGTGACTAAATCCCCAGGCCTGGGGATTTAGCTCAGTGGCATAAGCACCTGCCTTGCAAGCAGGCGGTCGTGAGTTCGATCCCTGGTACCGATAAAAAGGAAAAAGACAAAAAAAAAAAAAAAAAGAAGAAAGGTGTGACTAGAGATGGAATTCTCGTTCATCATAATAGGAAGTCAGGAGGTAACACCTAACACAGATGATGCGAGGGACAGTGGAGCTCACAGAATCATCTAAAAATCTGGAGGTAAACACCAGAACTCAGAACTAAGAGAACTGAAGGGGCTGCCTGTGAGACCTATAGGATGGTCTGTGGGGGATGATGGTACAGGAATGCTGTCTAGTTTCTGAGCATTTTAAGCATTATTTGCTTTTTAAACCATATGCATATATGACTTTCACGCAAATAAGTGTTTACTTTAAAAATTACATGTGGAAACCGCATGGTGGGTGTCAAAACCCCCCCAAAACACTCATTGAATTGTACTGAGCTGCTATCCACACAGCGGGGGCCGAGTGCCCACACCCTCATCTCAGGCTCTCGGGTGAATCAGATATTCTAAAGCCCTTAATTTTGTTCCCTTAAAGAAATTCTTAAGAGGAAACAGCTAAGGGAAAACTTGGTGCCAATGCTCAACACCTTTCCCCACTCTGTTCTGCTTTCAGGAAATTCCAAGGATACTTGTGCAACAGCACAAAGAGGCACCTTGAATGATTTTCCTTCTGCAGGATCCTGAGATCTGGCTGGGACTGCAAACCCTGTCCCCACCTTAGTCATTCAGTAAAAATTCACTGAAAACTTATTCTTTGGGATACACCAGCAGGCATGTCATATGCATTGCCTGCCTCCATTAATTGTTAAGCCTGGCCATTAAATGATAGTCACTATGGAAATCGATGAGGTTACATATGGAGCCATAAGAGCACACACTAGGGGTACCAAACCCAGTTTGGAGAGTGAGACAAGTGACATCTGCTCTTGGAACCTTTTTGTAAGTCTCAAGCATCCTCCAGACTCCTTCCTCAGACAACTCCATTGGAAAATCTTAAAAATAATGATAGTCCACGTGTGGTTTTAGCAACAAGGTTGAAACATAGCCTGTTTCTGTGAATTCTAGAAACTCTTCATGAACTAATATTGGTTATGAATCATTGAACTTACAATAGAAAGGATGCAGAGTTATATGCATCACTTTCATCATTTAATGTTCATAATAGCATTGTGTGAGGTACATTTTGGCATATGTAAAAATTAAGGTTCAGACTGATTCAACAGGTCAGACAGACAGTGAGGGACCTCACTTCAATATTTTCTCATCCACTTTTCCTCCTGCTTTCCTGTTTCTAGTAACATAGTCCTGTGTGAATGAACTTTGTTGGAACTCTTATCAGAAGGTCAACAGCAAATTTTCAGATGGCTAAGTAAGACTTCTAACTCATTTTCCAGGATTAAGCCACTGACACCAGAAGTGGAGGCCAAGGACTGAGGACTGAAGGGGAGAGGTGGTGGACTCTTTCATGGGGAAAGAAGAGTTACCTAAAACAAATTGTTAACTCTCAGACTTGGAATTCT